TAGTAGGGACCCGGTATCTCTGCACGTAGAGATGAAAGAGCCCGATTCATTCGTCTCACGGGATCTTCACAATAATGCACATTTTTTTCCCCTGCAGCAACCATGGCTGAATTCTTCCGAATAGCAAGCAGCTGTCCTGTCTGTCTGACCTATTTTGAGAAACCCGTGTCCTTGAAATGTGGCCACACCTGCTGCCTCCACTGCCTGACTTCAGTGCGGACTGAGCCCGATGGGGAGGGTGTGTTGTGCCCCATCTGCCCTGTGGTCACTCGGAAGAATGACCTCAAGATCTGTTGTCAGCTGGGGACCCTGGTGTCCAAGATCAAGGAGCTGGAGCCCCACCTGAGAGCTGTTCTCCAGCTGAACCCAAGGATGCTCAAGTTCCAAGGTAAGTGTTAGGGATTGAGTTACATCCTCCCAGAATCAGTGGTGTACGTCCTCACCCCTGTACCTGTGGTTATAACCCCACTTGGAATTGGGTTGCTCTGTTAGTTAATGAGTCCGTAAGGGTGCAGGGTGTAGCAAGTGCTTGACCTTTGAGCCACCAGGAACATGGAGCAGTAAGTATTGTCCTCAGGTTGACCCATGTGTCAGAGTGGAACTGTGCAGCACAACGTTCTCCATGGATGTGACCTTTCATAGGTAGGCTTCCAGGCATTAGTTCTGTGGCACCTTTGGGTGAACTCTAACCACAAACCTTTCTGGTAGTAGCTTAAGTTTCACAAAAGTCACAAAAAAATTGTCAGTGAGTTCATTCTGATTTGTTGTGACCACATGTGTCAGGGTACAACTGTCAGTAAGTTCGTTCTGCCTTGTTGTGAGTACTTACCCATGGTTACCACCCAGGGACTCCTAGCCACAAGTGTGATGGCAGTAAGTTCAGGGTGGCCAGTGAGACCCACCAGCCTCCAGTAGCCAGGCCGCTTCGGTGCACCACATCCTTGCTCGTTTTCTCTGTTCCCTGCGTCTGTTTAGTGGGTCCCACCACCACTGGTGGCCAGGCGGGTTTGAGGACAGTGGGTGCGCTTTGGTATGTATCCCAGGGCACAACGTCAATTGTGAGGAAAAAGAATTACTGTATTTTTGAGAGTGAGTTTACTTTGTTCCTTGCGGACTTTCATTTGGGATAGTGAGCTCTGTTTTGTCCCTGACACCTCTCTCTGGTGTCACCAACACCTTGCACTGAGCCAAGTCATGGGAGCTGAGTGGAGCCATTGGTCCTTGATTCACAAGATGGGTCACTGCTGACGCTTCCATTGGCTCTGTCCTCAGGTCATGTCAGGACAAGCAGTTCTGTGTCCAGATCCTGACAATCAGCCCCAGCTCAAGATACTGGTGATGTCCCTTGGTGTTACAAGTGACGTGGGCTCATGTACAAAAGGTTGATGGTTTGAACCCATCTGGTGACACTACAGGAGAAAGGCCTGGCAACCTGCTTCTGTAAGATGACAGCCACGAAAACCGTAGGGAGTCACAACGAGTCAGAACGAACTCGCTGACCATTCTACCATCACACATACGGAGTCACAAC